TTTTACTTTTTTTTTTTTTGGTAGAAAATGTTGGCTGAAACTCCATTAACGGGTTTTGAAAAGATAGAGACCTAGAGCAGTTAAGAGATCTGCTCCAAATCCCATAAGATTTTAGCCAGGAAGAACGTAGACCTTTACATATTCCAGGACATTTGCACTGCTTTAGATTTCCTCACCTTTACTTGGGTTTATAACAAAATTTTGATGGTTGAGTCTTATTTATAGTGTGTGTTCAAAGTGGAATCTTGCAGAAATCACTGGGTTCTAAACTAATTCTTGTATGTGATGGTTACCTGTTTTGTTATCTGTAATAGGTTTTAGTTAAAAATGGAATTATTTTCTTCTATTTTTGCATGGTCCTGCTTCTGGCAGTTTGGAATATGGGGTATTCAAATTTTCAGAATGGTTTTGACTACCTACTAAATTTTGAAGGAGTTTTAGAAACCAACTATGGAACTTTCGTGATATATATTGATAACTAAAATATGGTTAAATTAGCATTCTGTGATTCGGTACTTAACAGTGGATAGTTAAGTAGTATTAGGCTGTGTATGTTTATGAGGTTTATTTTTCCCTGCAAGTTTTACTGAGACCTGCAAAGGGAATACTGAAGTTTTTAAATTTTATTGCTAATGAACATCTCTATGCCCTTTTAACATTATTGTGTTAACATTTGGTCATTTCTATCCCACAGACCTTGTATTCTACTGATGGACTCACTCAGAGGCCCTTCTCGATCGAATGTTGTAAAAATTCTAAGAGAGTAAGTTCAAAAGTGTACCTCGTACTTTGTATTCTGGTGGAAATAAAGGAATGTATATATTAGTTAATGAATTTTATTTTAAATCAAGGTAAGGAATATATATTTTTATATATGTATATTCTTACTATATATTCATTATTGCAGGTATTTAGAGGTGGAATGGGAAGTTAAAAAAGGAAGCAAAAGAAGTTTTTCCAAAGATGTTATGAAAGGCTCTAATCCAAAAGTACCCCAGCAAAATAACTTCAGTGATTGCGGTGTATACGTATTGCAGTATGTAGAGAGCTTTTTTGAGGTGGGTTTCAGTTTATTGGCTATGAGATAATAAATAATAAAATACTGTTTTTGGCCTTATTAGTATAAAAACAAGTAAATATTTTAAAGAGTTTGAAAAGCTATCATTTCAAAAATTATTCCAGAAAGCAAAAAACTTCCAAATTGGAGAACATTTACGGCATAGAAAGGTTGTATACTTCATCAGATCCAAGGCTTGTGACCTCATTCCTTGTCGCTGATCAACTCCCCCTTCCACTGGCTCTTTCCACCTTAGGAAATCTCTCCCATGATTCCGACGGCCTCTCACTCTTTTTCTCCTCTTCACAGATATATTTCTGGAGACATCTGGAGACATATTTATATTCACTGTCTTCATTTCCACAAATTCTGCTTCTCAGATATCTGTAATCTGGATTGACCCTCATTCTTACATTGAAGTTGTTCCTCACCTATCAGCAACATTTGACACTGACCATTTCTTCCTCATAACACTCTTTCTTTGACTGGAGAGGTGCAATACCACGCATACTTCTCTTGGGTATTCTTTATAGTTATGGCCCCTTTTCTTTATTCACCATCCAGTGTACTACTAAGTCTTGTGAATTTTATCATTTCATGTCAAATATGTTCAGTTCTTTGTTCCTGGTGCCACTTTTGAAGTTCATTAACTAGCATCAGTATTCTAAACTACTGCTTCCTACCTTCTGTTTCTCTCAGTTGTTTTAAAAAAACCCAAATCTAATTATGTTACATTAAATCTTATAGTGGCTTCCTGTTGCTCTTGGATTAAAGAAAAATTCATGTGGCCTGCGTGATTCAGTTCTCGTCCAAGCTCCTGGCCTCATTTCCTACCATTCTCTAGCATTCTATATACCAGCCACCTGAATGTCATTCAGTTTCTCGTGTTGTGTGCTTTTTCATCTCTAGGCCTTGATGCATACTTCTTTAGCTGAATACTCTTTCCTGTTGCTTCTATCATTTATTTGGCTAACTCCTACTTAATTTCAGGCCTTCGCTTAAACATTACTTCTTTTTGGAATTGTGTTAAGCCCCAGATATGTATTTTCATAAGGCTCTCTAATTCCATCATATTTGTCATAATCATTGTTTTGTTATCTGTCTGTTTAGACAGGAGTCAACAAACCTTTTTATAAAGGGCCCAGATACTAAGTAGTATTCTAGGCTTTGCAGCTATACAGTGTCTATTCCTGTTCAGTTATCCTGTTGTGGTAAAAAAGCATACACAGACCACATGTAAATGAGTTAGTGTGGCTGCATTCCAGCAGGACTTTATTTACAGAAACAGGCAGTAGGCAGAATTTGGCCCGCTAGCTGCAATTTGCTGAACCCTGGTCTCGACTTTAAGATCTGTGGGTGGAAGTGGTCTCCTGTGCCCAGCAAAATGCCTGGCGTGTGATAGATAATGAGTAAATGTACTAAATGAGTTATTAATTTTAAATTTTTAACTCTGGAATGTTGTTATGTTTTAACTTGAACTGTTATTTCGTATAATTTTCTAATATGCATTTGACATTTTTATTTTCAGAATCCAATTCTCAATTTTGAACTACCTATGAATTTGGCAAACTGGTTTCCTCCCCCAAGAATGAGAACAAAAAGAGAAGAAATTCGAAATATAATTCTAAAGCTGCAGGAAGAGCAGAGCAAAGAGAGAAAGAAGCATAAGGACACTTACTCAACAGAAACATCTTTAGGTGAAGGAACTGATCCAAGTGTCGATAGTATCTCAGATTGACCATTTCTCATTCTTGTCAGTGCTGTCCTGAGAAAGTCAGTGACTTTCACCTTTGGGTACAGACAGTAAAGAACTGAAGTGCCCACTACTCAGAGTGATTTGAAAATGTTAATGCTTGTATAAATGTCATATAATTAATTTCCAATGGAGTATGTATTAAGTAAGTCTGTAAATATGTTAATGAGGCCAATTTTTCCAGCATTTATAATTATTTTTTTCACTTATTAGGAAGCTTTTGTTATGTATTTTCTGTTAATAGTACTGAGAACTGCAACTTCTAAACACAAAATAAATAAATATTTATAGGAGGAAATGATTAATTTGATATTCTTTAGTGAATTTGTATTAAATCCTCATTGTGTGTGATATATTTCATGGGAATATTCAAGTATCTATGATAATCTTTTGACCTTTTGCATTTGTTCTAAAACAACTTGAAATATGAAAATAAGATGAACTCTTAAGACATTTTGAACAAGAAAGACATCTTTATGTGCTTGTATAGCAGGGAAAAAATAACAGCCTTTTAAATTCATATATTCCCTTATGTCCAGAGAACTCCAAAATGGAATAAATATTTATAATTTTACATAAATATTTAAGGAGAAGCAGTAATTCAAAGAATAAGAACCTTGAATTATACTACTAAATAGTAACTATACTTTATCATATATTATTGTCAACTACATTTCTGAAGACGTCTAAGACTCAGGTTAAAACTATTTTGGTAAGTGCAGCTCGAATTTCAAATATCCCATGTTACCTTTCTATATTATAACTTAAAATATTCTACAATCTGTGTGATATAGTTAATTGAGAAACATTTTTAATCTGTGAACACAGCAATTTAAATAGGAATTAACTATTTTTTATAATGGCTTTTGCTATTTTTTCATTGCTCATTTTGTTCTTGTTATTTTGATAAAGTATCAGACTTTGCACATGAGTTTTTTAGTGTAAATTATTTTTACATGTGAAAGTACTATCTAATCAATTGCTTAATGCAGGAAAAAAAATCTCTTACCTTGAATTCCCCTTTTAAATTCTTAAAATGTGATTGTTTTGATGACAGATTTACAACTCATATAGGAATCTTGCATATATCTGCTGAAACTATTATTTTCAAATGAAATGTTATACATTTCTTTTGAATTAACTTTGAGACTTGAAATATATATATTTTAAAAGTCATTTTTTGTTAAATAATGAATTTAAAAATGCAAATATAACAAAAAATAGTTGAGTGTAAAAGGAAGGCCATTTATCATCAGCATTTATTTTATTTTTAATCTGGCCATTTCTGGCACTGTGACCAACATTTTAGGTTATTTTCTGGGGTAGATGGAGGTGTTGTTAATTAACAACAGCTGAAAAAAAATCTACTGAGACACACTCATCAAGGGAAATCTTAAAATGTAAGCTTAGGGAAGGTCATCATTAGTGCTATCAATTATAGTTTTGTTGCTTTGAACTATCTTAACATTTTTTATTTCTGATTACATTATTTGTTTTTTTAAGAAATACCCTAGAGCTATTAGCCCAGATGTGAAAAAATAAGAATTTAATTTTGTTATTTACTGAATATGAATTAAAAAAATGGAAATTGTTTTTTCTAATGCCTGATAGCAGTAAACAAAATTGATATATTTAATTTTTTAAATGTACTGTATTTTGTCAGAATTTGAAGGTACTGAAAAAACTATTCTAAAATGCTTATTTGTTTTTGTTTTAATTTCTAATGGTTACATTTTGTATTCTTAATTCTTGATATGAGAAAAATATAACTTGTCCTTTGGGCCATCTCAAATCATATTTTAACATGAAAAATATAGATTGATGCCTGTCAGCTTTCTAGAGGTAGAGTATTCAGATATTTGGTATTTCTCCCATTCCATGTAAAATTCTATTTTTAAAAGTTATGCTAATGGCTTTGTTTTACATATATATACTGAAATCAATATACTAAAACCTTTGGAGACTTCGAGGTTGAGCTCCAGAACTAGACTTGAGAGAGTCTTTGGTGTATATGCACATTTACTTGATGATTGTGTACTGTGGTACTTCTATATGTAGTTTAAAGTGGCTATCAGCCTTTTAAAATGTGTCATTAGTACTTGGAAGTTGTGAAACAATTTTAAAGTTTAGAGGTTTGTTACTAGACACTGAAACTGCATGACGAGTATCTGGTGTCTTAACTAATTAGATAGATCTGTTGTATTTGTTTTCTCATTGGATAGAATAACAGTTAATCATTTTTAGAAGAGTTTTAGATTACGTGCCATAAAATTTGTATGTGTTTTAGCTCGTGGTAGTTTAGGAGCAAAGTTGGCATTTAACTAGTTCTTTCCCTTTTGTGTTGCTAAGACAGCTGAAAAGTTAATGGTATTATTTAAAGCTTACATAAACCTAAATCAGTTAAGCAGAGTAACCTGTGCTTAAACTATTAGTCACTTATATGTAGGAGGTTTTATTTGAAAGAGTAAATAATTATCTAAATTATATCTTGTTTTAAGTCACCAAAATGAATTCAGTATTCTTCTTTTTTAAAAAACTATCTATGATCTCTGAAGATTGTAAGATACAATATAAAAAAAATAACAGCTTTAATTTCCCAGACATCACAAATTGAACTTAAAGTTGCAGACAAGTCACTGAACAGGAATAATTAATTTTATATATATATATTTTTTAATTTTTTTTTAAATCCCCATCCAAGGATATGCTTAGAGAGAGAAACATTGATGTGAGAGAGAAACATAGATTGGTTGCCTTGCCTTTATGTGATCCCCAGTCAAATTCACAACCCAGGTATGTGCCCTGGCCAGGAATTGAACTGGTAACCTTTCAATGCACAGGATGATGCTCAATCAGTTAAGCCACTCCAGCTGGGCAAGGAAAAAAAAAAAAATTATATACACATATATATATGTATACACACACACACACACACACACAAATTTATCTTTATTGTTGAAAGTTTTACAGATGTCCCCGTTTTTCCCCAAATGACCCTCTCCACCACCCCACCACTCCCCGCCTTCACCACAGTATTGTCTGTGCCCATGGATTATGCAAACATGAATATAAATTGTTTGGTTAATCTCTCCCCACCCACCCTTCCTCCCCTGCCTTTCCTCTGAGATTTGTCAGTCTGTCCCATGGCAAGTTCCAGCCAAGAATATATTTTAATATATAAATATATATGATCAAGAGTTGGTGGAGTAAAGCTACTAGAATATGATAGAAGGAACAACTTAGCAGAAACAGAACCCTTAAAAGATAAAGTAGTGTAGTGCTGTATATTTAGAAGAGATACAGATAACAAGGTTGGCTCTAGAGATTCCTTTGAGGACAAAAAGGGAGAGGAGATTATTTTGGAGGCATACTACAGGCTGCCTAGCCAAGTGAATGTAAATGTGTAGTTTATCAGTAAGACAACACACAGGCAACACCTGACTGCATTGGGAAATGTAATCTACTAAGAATGTGCTGAAAGACTCCAGTAGGACTTTCTGGTACCTTTGTTATTTTTGTCAGGAAAAAGAAAAAGGGTTATAAAAACTGCTCTTCCGAACTTAAATTTAATCACAGAAAGAATTGGTTGATCAAGTCAAAGAAATGTGTACCTTGGAGGGAATTAGTCCTACCATCTTAATTCTGATAAGCCAGATCAAGGGAATGGTAGGATACCCTAAACTACTATTAAGGAAATCAGAGTGCAACACACTCAGGAAAATACCGTAGACCTATGGCCTGAAACAGAAAGAAAAAAGGTTAAAAACATACAGGTCTTCACTATCTTTATTGGAAGTAACAGTTAAGTTGCCCTTATTGCAAATGCTTACAATGAAGAGCATATTATGCAAAACAATGATTTTTATCTAGAAATATGCATCAACATCACCTGGGATGCTCTTCAGGAAACACATACTTCATGTCTTAACCCCAGTGGTGCCATGTATTTTCAAATATTTCCTCAAGTAATTCTGGTTTGCATCTTCTTTGTCAAGCCACTTATCTGAAAGGATCAATATATGTCCCTGACAGCTTTTAAGTTGCCAGTCCCAGAGGTCATAAAGCTTGTCTGCATTTTCTTCTTTCAAGTGCTTTAGACACCACTTTACTCTCATCCCCCCAAATTCTCATTAAGAACTTGATAGAAGGGATTATTATGTTGCTGTTACTAAGCCTTGATAAATTATGAAGAAAATTATTAAGGTACTCAAAGGTTAGAAACTAGCAGATAAATCTTGTTTTTCAAAAGGAATAAAGATTCTGCAAATCATAAAACACATCAACTCTTGATAAGATTCTAAAGTGAATTATTAAATGGTGTGTGAACTCTTAATGGTCACTAGGAGTTACGGAACCACTACAGTCAAAGTTGTTTTATGTTTTTAATAGAATTCTGGTCTAGTCAATCTAGAATGCAGCCGGACTAGCAATTCTCTAAGTGCTTGATAACTCTAGTTTTGAGGGATATTTATAAGTTCTTTGGTCAAATAAGTTGGTAAAATATTTAAACCAAGTTAAGCAGGTTTTTTGGAGCTTTTAGTATGCTGATGTGCAGAATGATTTAACAAGAGGAAATTACAGAACACAGCATGATAGATAATAGAATTTGGCCGTATCTTCCTCTTCTGGACTGATTCTCTAAACTGCTATATAAATGCTCCACGTCAGAAGACAGAAATAACTTTTTGGGGTGTGTTTGTGAACTGAACTTAAAAGATGCTTTTGAAACCTTTCTGAGGTTGGTTATTTATTTACATTTTATTTCACTAATAGTTGGGTATGTGATTTGGAAACCTGAAAGTAAATGACTAGTGTCCTGGGAAAATGAAGTTTTATAGAGGCATTTTTCTATAACCATTGTAATGAAAATATTACCAGTCTAGTTCTTGTATATAAGTGGATTCTTCTAGAAAAAAGTCAAGATTTGAAGATACAGATCTTTTGTCGCTAAATCACCTAAACAAAGAAATAGAAATTGTGCAAAAATATGAATATGAATTGAAGGATTATCTAGAGGCTTTTTTCCCATTTTAACTGCTAGCTTACCCCTCTCCATACTTCCATGCCCTCACCCTTTAGAATTAAACTGCAGCAGACGAACTTTATACCTAGAAGCTTTTTTCTTCTTAAGAAATTCTCAAAACAGCACTTTATTAATTGAATATACTTTCAAACTATATATATTTTTAATCCTCACCCAAGGATATGTTTTTATTGATTTTTAGAGAAAGGGGGGGGGGAGAGAGATGTCAATTGGTTGTCTCCTGTACTCGCTCCGACCAGGGATCGAACTTACAACCTAGGTATGTGCCACCACAGAGTCAAACCCACAACCTTTTGGTGACGGGAAGATACTCCAAACCACCGAGTACCCTGGCCAGGGATACTTTCAATATTTTTATTCCCTCAAATAACTGAAAGCAAGTGAAACTAAATTTATCATAATTAGCTACATACATGTTGACAGGAAAGATTTTGATCCAAAGCACATTAGCTGAAAAGAAATTGATCCTTAAATATTGAATAAATGTTTTGAGTACCCACTTTGTACTAGGTGCTAGAAATTTAAAACAGTGAAGCAGAACTTCTTATTAACCGATGTCATCCCAATAAACTTAATAAATAAAATAGTCAAACATACCATTTTCTCTCCTCATGGTGCTTCCTTTAGTGTAATGGGAAAGATATCCATTAATCAGCCTCACAAATTAATAATTTAAAATAACTGCCATGTAGGAAAAGCATAACATGTATTCAGAAAATGTAGCCTAATCTGGGAAGGCTGGGGAAATCTTCCCTGAAAATGTGACACTTAAACTGTTGGTATTGAGAAACTCAACAAAGTCTGAAAGGGCAAGAGAAGAATTGTGTTTGTAGTGTGTGCAAGGGCTCTGAGGGAGGGAGATGTTTGACTTTTCCTAAATGATAATGGTTTCACTTGTTAAGTATGTACTGTATGCCAAACACTGTTGTAAGCTTTTTCTTAACTTTTTATTTTTTATATATTTATTTTTAAATATATCTTTATTGATTTCAGAGAGAGGAAAGGAGAGAGAGAGAGAGAGAGAAAAACATCAATGATGAGAAAGTCATTGATCGGCTGCCTCCTGCACGCCCCTGACTGGGGATCGAGCCTGCAACCAGGAATCGAACCCCAATTGCCTGGATCCTATGTTGGTGCTCAACCGCTGAGCCATGCCAGCCAGGCTGTTGTAAGCTTTTTGAATATATGAATTCATTTCTTATATGACAATATGAGACATCTGTTATTACAGAATTTACAGAGGGACAAACTGAGGTCCAAAGAAATAGTTTCTCCAGCAAGGCTGGGTGCTGAACACACCACCTTACCGTAGAAGCTAGGTTAACCTGGCTAGATAAAAGAAGATGGAAATAAGATGTACATATTTTTTTAGAGATGCAGTGTGGGTGAATCTTGATGACTATGGGAAATGGTTGTATGGGTTCTTATAGTATGTTTAAACATTTTCATAATTAAAAAAAAAATTAAGGTCTGTGTAACTGGAGCTCAGAGTAAGATGGGAAGGTAAGCTGGGCCTCATCATGCAGGGCCTGGAAGCCATGTTCAAGATTTTGGTCATTACCCTAAAAGTCAAGTGACCTGACGCATTTCAAACAGGAATAACACGACGGACTGAATGCTATAAAGACTGCAACTGCAGTAATGGAAGCACTACAGGGGGGCAAGAATGAGTGCAGGCCTTTTCTATGGTAATTTAATTAGGAATTACCATAGGGTAAAAGATACAATTATGCCTGTCATT